ATTCACAAACGTAGGATCCAAACTCTGTAATTTGTTTATAAACTTTTTGAGGCTCAATGATCTGGGTAAAATGATGCAAGACGACCTTCAGGGATTTTCTATTCTTTTGAATAAGTGTTGATGAATAGCGATATGGGTTTTTTCCTTCAGTTGTCTTTCAAACTTTTGTAGGAGGTGGCGGACCAATCATGGGTGATCTATGGGCTTTAGAGGGCATTATTGAAGAAGGTAACTTTCTCCATTTCAATTTTTTCTTCTTTATGTAGTAGGAGCAGTTAGAAGGAAAGGATTCTGTAATCTGGTTTATGTATTTTGATTCTACTGAGAAAAGTGAATTCCCAGAATGGATTAGATTATACTAATTCCTTATTTTAATCTTCAGACTTCTAATGAAGAGGAAGCCAATAACTTTTTAATACAGTTAAAATTAACTTGAATGCCCTTCCATTCAACTAAATGAGTTTTAACTATGTTGTAATTCACACAACCTCATCTTCACGTTTTAAGGAAGACACTTCTTTCTTTTTATAAGTAGTCAGTCAAGCAAAGGAGAGTATGCTTAAAAGAATGATTTATATGTGTAATAATGCAACTATGTTTTCCATAAGTCTGTTGGGTTTGTCCTGTATTTTTTTAAGATTGCCCCTTGCATTTCATAGGTTAAAACCCACTGTTAGTTTCTTTGTTTTATCTTTTTCCTATGTATTTATCTGCCAGCACGTCTCCCCATTTTTATGTATATCAGTCACGCCATTTATAGCTATTTCTATCGTAGAAAATGAATAATTGTTACATCATAAACTAATTCTCCATTACTGTATCCTTTCATTGTCTTATGGTGTTCTTTTTTTTTTTTCTCAAAACTGTTTTTTGTATGCTTAATCAGTGTTGTCATGTCTTTATTGTGGAAGGAAGAAAATGAAACTCCTGGATGGACACAACTGAAGTTTCCTGGTCAAGCTTCTTCACCCCACTGTGGGCACACTTCACGTCTTTGTAGCACTATGTAACTATCTGAATCCCTTCATAGTTTAGAGATATCATATTCGTTTAAGTTTTTCCCTCATGATGTTAGTAACTAAGAGGGTAGCGCAAAGGAACCTATATTGAAGACACTGGAGGAAATTATACCATTTTGTTTGAGGGTTACAAGGCTTTTTTGCTATTTTGAATTTACTTTTCTTTGGGATAAATGGGAGGGTTATGGTGTTTAAAAAGGAGATTATTGATCGATGTTCAGTTATGTAACTGTTATGACTTTCTGTACTTGAATTGGCTCCTCATTTGGTGTATAATTGATAAATTTTGCTTAAAAGAAACTCAGGGTTTGAAGCTTTAGTTCTGTGGTCAAGATGGTATCTGCACCTTTTGTCTTGACCATGGATGTTTAATTTCCTTAACCGATGCATTTCGGAAGTGTTTACATGTCATGAATTACAGTGTATGCTACATTTATTGAGTCCCCTGGGTCCTGGACTTGAGCATGACGATAATTTAACAAAATTTTTCATGTACTTTGTGAACTCCAAATTATGTGTTATAGGCTTATAAAGCTACTTATGGTTTGTGTGGAGATTGCATTTTTAGTAGTTTTATTCATCCCGTAGAATAATCTGTTGAGGTTGAAGAAATCTAAAATCCTGCCAGTCTTCATGACTCCTATCGCTTTTCTTGTACTTATGAAGGTTAACTTACAAATATTCTCTCTTTGCAGCTCTTATTGTTTGGAGGGCATGGAACTGGTGGTTGGTTGAGCCATTACGATTTTATCATAACGATTGTATTATTCTAGACGGGTCAGTATTATGCATCTGACCCTTACTTAACTGGTGTTGGTTTACTTTAGATTAATACTTCCTGATGGTGATTATGATTTTTCCAGTTCCTGTATTGATCTCTGTAGTTCTTGCTATTTCATAAAGCTCGTTTTACATTGTTGACCTGAACACATGTTAAATAAGGTTCCCACTTTTCTTAATCCAGCTCCCCATGATGGAGAGAGTTTTCCTTCCTCTAAAACTATATAATTTATAGAATGTTTTGTGAATTTCATTACCTTTGTACTTTGTTTCTTATTTGTACGAGTTTTTGAAATTTTTGCTTTTTATGATTGCATGTAGTGTCTGCACAGTGGAAACGCTTGTCAACTACCAATGATCCCCCAGCTGCTCGAGCATACCATTCAATGAACTGTGTTGGTTCACATTACTTATTATTTGGTGGCTTTCATGGAAAGTCAACCTATGACGATCTATGGTGGCTCGTACCTGAAGGTGTTTGAGTTCTCTTACAACATGATTATTTAATGACACACTTGATGGCCACTTTAAATTTAGAATTGCTTTTTCTCAACGATGTTCTGACCATTGGCAATTGATGTATAACACAACTTTGTGAAATTGTAAACCCCTATCCATTTCCACCTGAATTTCCTATGCAGATCTTAAATTGCATTAAAAGTTGGAGCATGCTGCCATATTTTTTGCTAAAATAATGTTTGAGTGTCATAGGCACTTTATGTTTTCTCTTAATCTTTATTATTTGTGATTCACCATGTTCATTTGTTCGAGCTTGTTCGTGATGTTTGGAAGCAAGGTTGTAATCTTACTGGATTAATTCTTATATGTATTCGGGCATTTTCTTTTCTTTTTATAAATTTTTTGTTGCGAATTTGACTTTATTAATTGAATCTGAGTCTTTGTAGATTCTTGGTTATAGGGGACCCTATTGCAAAGAGGATATCTCCATCTGAAGTTATGTCGGAAAGTAGGAATACAACCATGGCGAATCATGGCCTATCTGGAGCCAATGTAATGACCTGAAAAACTATTTTCTCCTCTACTTCTCCATCTTTAAAAGCTTTGATGTTAAACCGTTGTACAAACTATATATATATATATCTGCCTTTCCACCCTTAATCTTTTCCTGGAGGTGTAGCGCTCTCCTTGACATTCCATTGCTTGCTTCTGACACAATCGATGTATGCAAATCACTTTTTTTCCCTCAATACTTGCAATTATGTAAAATATCTTTAGAGAAGCAGGACAAAGCACACTCTGAAGCTGATCAATAGCCAAAAATAACCCTAGAAAGATGCACTTATAAGCTTTCTACTCATTGAAGAAGTCCACAAAGGAATCAAGAGTGAAATGGATATCCTGAGAACCATTAGAATATTAGTCTTAGAGAAGCTCTTTCACCGCCGAATTTACTTCTCCACCCTTCAAAATGTCTTACACTCACAAGATGCAGCAATGGAGGCATGAAAGGGCACTGTCAAAACATTTAAATCTGCTTGTATTTGCTGCATCTTCACTTATAGCTAGGTAACAGATTTGAAGTTAAAAAACCTGCTAAACGCTAAAAGGGACAGTAATAGTAAAATCTGTCAGTCATATTCATATGCACTACGACAACTCATGCTGCTAATTTATTGGAATGCCAATTTGAAGGATCTGCAGTGGCAGAGTTGCAGAAAATATTAGAAATTTCAGTTTTACATTCTAATCCTGAGAAAATCGTAGATGAAATGGAAGACAGATAACTGGTCCAACTGGCATCAAGAGTGGTTGGTGAAGGGGCCGTGGGAAAGAGAGAGGTTTTTTATGATTCTATTTTGTTTCAGTGGACTAGACTCCATGCACACGTCTACCACGTCTCCAGACACTTTTCATTAAAAGATTGTCCAGGCACTCCGTGACCACTGTATGAAGTCTACACCAAGGTCAATAACATTGAAGGAGCTTAGTTCATTACTGCACGACTACCAAAGATTGATAACTCACCATATGTAAGACTAAACTCTTTGGTTTGTCTTTTTCAGTTTCCAGGATAATTTGTTAAAGTGATTCCACTCTCGAGGGTCAAAAGTTCAATAATCTCCATGCTACTGTAGTTTGGAGATGATGTTGATACTTCAAGTCTAACTTTGAAAGTCAAAATGGAGAAGTATGATTCTCATTTATTTCATCTTCTGTAGTAGGAGTTGATAGCCTGAAATCACGTGTTACAATCAACCTATCTTCAGAAAAGAAAGAGCACCTCTGAAAATATATATTTTTGGTTCTCCTTTCAGTAAGTTGATAAACTAGTGATTTTCTTTGAATAAATATTTGGTAGTCATTGATTGTTGCAGAGGAAAAGTTTGATCCAATTTACAGCTTGCGATTCTATCATGTTAGAAATGGTTCTCAGGTTGGAGATGTGTAGCTTCATTGTGCTTCTTATTATCTGTTTCTAGTTGATTTTAGTTGGGTTTAATTAAAATCCAATGAGTGTCATATCTAATTTCTTCAATTTGTGCATAATGTCAAAATTCTTGAAACCCACTTCTTTGCTGGTGTCATCAGCCTTCCTGTGCAATATTTAACTTTACAAAGTGCCTTTTGTAAGCATTTTGTTTAATTTAACATTCTATTTTTACGATGACAGTTGAAAAGCTCTAATTAGATATATCGGATTGAGAGTGTGTGCAAGAGAGAGTACTTAATAGTTTCTTGATTATTCTGTTTTATGACTCCCTGTTGATAGCATTCTAATGCAGTTTTTTAATTTTTATTTTCCAGTTGCGTATGGATGATATCCCAAATCTATTGGCGGAGTACAAAGTGCTTCTATCAGCTGTATAGATCAATTATATGGGCGCCTCTTTCCCCATCAGCTCTGGAGATAATGTTTGATTCTAGCCAGTTCGTTGATAAATTGTTTTGCAATTTGCGTGGAAATCTTCAAAATTCTTATACTTACAAAAGATGTGTATTAAGGTTTGGTAACTAATGTATGTTTGATATGCTGTATTGTATTGTACTATATTGTGTAGTGTTGTCCATGTCTTGGATGTATAGCATGTTATACGCCGCAAAAAAATAAATAGATAAACCAAGACTTTTAGGGAAAAAGTAAAAACCATGTTATACCGCACTCATAGATGGGAAGATTGCAAGATACAATAAGAATTGACACAAGTTTACATTTATCAGAACCCAATAGTTTAGTGTATATTAGGTGTTCGGATTTACAATCTTGGCGAGTTCTTCCAGTTTCCTCATTCTGAATTTCTCACTTTCATTCACCAACTGGAAATGACAATAGAAAATTGATTTTTAACTAGAAAAGAGTAGCAAGTATTTAGAAATCTAAATTCAATAAATAAGATTAATTTTACCTCCATGAGGGTTGTGGTCAGCTGAGTTTTTTCATTGTTCTTTTCATGGAAAGCTTCCAGGGCTTCTTTATACTCCCTCTCCTGTTAAGAATTCATTCTTGGAATTTTTAAGTGGAATCAGTCTTGAATAAATTTATTTACATGTACGGTTTGGCTAAAAATTATATTTTTAGTAGATTTTGATGAAAATTGATAAAATATGTGGTTGAAAATAAGTTTGAAAAAAATGAGTTTTAAAAAATTGTGGCCGAATAGGTGCTTATTGATATTTTATATTTATCTTGGATCAATGATAATAAAATTTCTCATTCCTATTGTGTAACTCGTATGCCCAAATATTAACAAGGAGGTTCAAGAAAAAGAATTCTTTACTTTCTTTTGGCAGGTTTGTCCAAGTGATTTGAGTTCACGGTTAGCCATATCTATTCTTTTACGTACACTGGCAACTTCTTTTCTCATGGGATCCGTTAACACATCAAGTTCCTGCATCATAGAATATTTCACAAGATTAGTCGATCTTAAAATAGCAGAAAAATGATGTAAACAGTGTTTTTCACTCTGATGAAATCCAACTTGAGCACGAAAATAAGGCTGAGACAACATTCGTCGACGAGGTACCACCAAACGAGGCCGAGATGAGTCATTTGTAACTTGTGGTTCTTCAAATAACTAGTGGTACAGGAAGATCTTTTAATTAAGGAAAACGTACATTTCTTGGTACAAGAACTTTGAAAAACTATGTTCTCCATTAAACTAAAAGATAAACCATAAAAAATTGTTTTTCTTCCACCATGTGTATATTGACAATAATGGCATATTTGATGAAATGTGCTGATAGTATCAGTGAAGAAAAAATTATGTATTATACGGTCCCTCTTATTGCATATGGAAAAAAATTTGTTGGACTTACTTCCCAAATTTGAGCCAAACGCTTGGTTTCTTCTTCAGCACGATTGAGTTGAGATTCGACCTTCATTCTCATCTCCATTTTCTTCCTCTCAATCTCTTCTTCTCGAGCTTGAAACGATGCTATAGCCAACTTGGAGACCTCTTCATGATCATCATTAATATTACTGTCATCTGTGGATGATCTCCCACTGCTTCCAATACTTGCAAGGCTCTTCATTATTTACTACTTCTTCTTTGATGTTGAAATGGAAATGCTCTTCACTATTTACTTCTTCCATATATATCTTTTTGCATCTAGTTTTTGCTTTTGCTTTAATACTCTCTCTCTTTCTTTTATCTCTTTCTTTCTTTTGAAGCCATAAATTTTGGAAAAAAAGCGACATATGTGAAATCTTGAAGTATCTTCCCATTTTTACGCATAATAACCTCTAGTGCTTATAACCAGCATATTAACCAACATGTATTCTTGATAAACTTATAGTCGACTAGATGAGTACTTTTTTGACACAACGCGGGTATTGGGACGATCCAAGTACGAGTAATTCAATCTGGTTCGCTAAGAAAAATTCTTGACTCGCACATATTGCAGTCGCATTTATGCTAGGCGAACCTTGCAACCAGATTTTAATTGGAGCATTAAAGAATATAGTGATTTATGCTCCATTTAAATTGAAAACTAATTGCCATAACCCTTGCTTGAGATTTGGGAAAGTTTGTTAACTGGTTACTCTCAGAGTCACATGTGAGCATATAAAGAGGGCTTTGTGCCTTACCTGAAAAGTCACGGAGGTTGCAAGTAATGCAGGCTGCTTTAGTTTTTATGGTTGTGCAATTAATGCTTATCGATTGTCATTCATTGGATGGATTAGAGCATCTCCAAAAAACTCGTTAAACATGAGATGCTCTCTATTTTAAAGAGTCATCATTTAAAATCATACTCCAAGAGAGTCAAACTCACTCTCTATAATTAAATGCATTCAAAGTGTTTCAATTTTCAATGTATGAAAACAATAAAATAATGTAAAAAAAAAGCTAGTTACAATAAAAGATAAACAAAAATAATAAATATTGGGACTAGTAAAATTAAGTGTTAAATTTAAGAATAATGTTATTCATAGTCGTTCACTGCAGCAGTTGTCCTATGTGGCACACACATGGCATGTAGTTATTTGATGCATTAATGTGGTAGTTTTTTTTACCACATTAATGTCATGTGTGTGCCACACAAAGCGACTGCTGCAATGAACGACTGCAAATAGCATTATTCTAAATTTAAAGAGCTTGTTGGAGTACTTCAAAATTTTAACTCTTTAAATTTATAGATGCTCTCCAAATGATAGAATATACTCTTTAAAAGTAGAGAGTATTGGAAATACTTTAAAATTATGCTTCTTGGAACTTCTTTAATGCAATAACATGAATTGTTTTCAATGAAACAAGCAAAATAGCATGATCCTTCGTCTTTTTTCTTGCCATACGAGCATTTTGGGGTGTTGTGACAATTTTTGGTGGAATTCACCATCTCATTAGAGATGCTCTCGAGTATTGACTAATAAACGGTTTTCCTATGAAGAGTTTAATTTCTAATAATTGTATTTTGTTAAGCTTTTATAATGACTTTTAGAAAATTAATTGTAAGATTAACCTCGTATAATCTCTTAAAGCCAAGTTAGTAAAAAAGCCTTGTGTATTTCCTTTATTAGTTGAGAGTAGGTGGTAGCTGGCAAATTGTAGTTTTGTATTGATCTCGAGCACGGGATTTTGGAGTTGGCTAAACTTTACAAAGTGATATGTGTTCATCAAGAGTATAACTTCGGTATTTGATTAAAATATAACTAGCAAAATGTGACTTCAGGAAAAAATAATTAATAAGTGTATTCATTTGCATCCATACAATAATTATCCTATTACAAACAAAAAAAAGAGGCAAACTAGCAACAATGACAACAACAAGAACGGTGACTTGAAATCAAACAAGAACAAGGTAGAAATGATCATAAAAGTACAAATCTTTGTAAAGAAGAACAAATTCGTGAATTGAACAATAGGTACTGTAGAAATGTTAGATTATTCGTGTCGTAAAGTTTATTTTACAGACATGAATTCTATCAAATAATTTAAAGATTCTTAAATGTAGAATTATTTATATTTGATTTGAAATTAGGAAATCAAGTTTTAGCAGATCAAAAGAAGGCCTTCTGGTTACTATATAGAAGTTTACGTTTAGTTTTGCTGCCATTTTCTTCAAGAAATTCATCTGATGATTTTTCTTGATCGTCGAAAAGAGCAACAGATTTTGGAAAATATTTTGTGCCATTTTCTTCAAGATATTCATCTGAATTTTCTTGATTCTCAAAAAAACCATCAAATTTTGGCATAAATTTGGTGTTCTCGAGGTTCTTTTCAGTGCCGTAAGCCCGAAATATTTGGTCCTGAATCATCTCTTGAGACAGTCCCCATGCACGCAGTTCTTCCAATTTGTGATGCAGAGCCAGACTGTATTCTCCATTGCAACCTAATTGTAGAACTTTGTAATCACAATTTTGAGGATTTTTTAGATCCTCGAATTGCTCGACAGTCCAGTCGAACCATTTCATGAGGAACAGAAGAATGGTTAATCCGTGGGAAACAATTATCAGATTCAGTTCATCCGAAGGGTCGTTGTTTATCCTGTTCGTTTCCATTTCCCTCCATAAATTTTCAATAAAACCTGGATGTGAAAATCTTTTAACGTTAGGCATGCATGCGGATTGTGGATATGCATATGTAAGTACTTTTTAGATAAAGTGATTCATCTCCAACATAATATTACAATAACAAATTATGTAACATTGCATTTAAGTGAATCTATCATTTAATGTCATGCAGTTACCATCTAAACTGGTGCTTAACATCAATAGTGCCGAATAACATTACTTTTAAAATAACATAAAGTTTTTAAGTTCTAAGTTTCATTACCACTCATTTATCAAAATCATACCTATATTAAATTTTTAATGAAAAATGAATTCGTCTTACTTATGAAGGGAGTGTGTTGAAAACACTCATCTTTTAACGGAATGAAGTTTTAAACCATATGTCGGAACTTGATGTTAAGCACCAGTTTAGATTACAAAGTTATTTTCGAGTCCTAAAATTTCTTGGATCTACATGTGAGGTCTTTTAATGAAAAAAATAGATCCAACCTGCACTTATGAAGAGCATATAGATATATATTTTCACTCTCTAACTTAATTTTATCGTCGTACCAAAACATACATAATGATATTCTAGATTCAAGTCTCCCAACCGTCATTTATGAAAATTGTACATGTGTTAAGGTTTTAATTAAGAAACGATTCAAATGTCATCAATAGATAAAACTTTTAGATGAATCAATTCAACGAGAAAATGAATAAAAGATGTCTTTTTTTTTTTAATCTTCCAGACAAAAAGAGTGAGGAACTTACTGGAAACCCTGTCATAAACATCGGCGCTGGATTCCCCGTCGGGCACCCGGTAGAAGAATTTCCCGTATCTGTTTCTGGTACGTTTTATCTTCTTCCTCTTCTCCAGCTCCTGGAAATTCCCAAAATGCTGTTCTCTCAGCTTGCATTCTTCCTTCAATCCAATCACATTATCCTCTGGAAATTTCTCTCCGATGATCCTTTCCAGTGTCTGCTTTGTGCGCTGAGAAGGGGATACATAAAACGAAACCTTCCAGTTTTCATTTTCTGATACCAATTTCTTGATCTTGGAACCAACGTTTTGAGCCTGCTCAATCCCCTTACTGCTTAATTTAATTTTGTAATTAGGCACATACTCAAGAACTTCTTCATCTTGATTTCCTTCACTCTCCCCATGGCGAACCAGTATTATGCGCTTCGGCATATATTTCTGCGTGTTTTTCATTCTTTCTGAGGCAAAAACAGAATTCATGCTGGCAAATATAGAATATAAATGCAAAAATTCTTCTTGATTTTGTGTGTATATATGTGAGTTGATTTGATGGGAGTTTCGAGCATGCATATTTATATGTGAAGATCCAGAGTTCCTCAACGCGGCATGCGATTTGACCACGTCACTACTTGTGGAACTGTTTCCTCACTTTTTCGCTTTGATTAAATTGTTTTACGGTTTGTTGAACATTTGAAATTTCGATTGATCAACGACGTCTGTCACATTAGTTACTTCGAAGTTTAATGGTACTTTTGAAGGAGAAACGACAAAGTGAAAAAAGCATTCTGCACGCAGCACGCGTTGTCTTCTTTTGTTTCAAGTTAGAAAGATTGTAAAAATTACATTCTTTTAGCGAATAATTGAAAGGGAAAGGTTTGCCCTTTTTTATGAAAGGAGAAAGTTTTACTTGTGTGATTTTGTATAGAAGGGTAGTGGGGGTTTGATTAGCAAGTCATAGTAGTCTTAAAGTGAATTGTACTATTTAAATTCGAATTGGATTAACTTTTTACGAATTAGATCGTAGGGTAATACGTCTCTAAAAGCGATTGGTTCAGGGTCATAATCTAAGTCCAAAGGCCCACATTGGAGAAGATATAAAGAGCAATTACTCTAGAAAGATGCACGGCTCAACAAGTCTGAGACGAACCTAACGATAAGTTGAGACTCTTGAGCTTGTTTTGAGTCGGTCCAAGTCCTTGTATGGACTTTTTTGGGCCTTTCTTAAGATCAATCATACTTGTGTGACGTTCTTGACACCATTAATTTAAGTACCATATGGAATCAACTCTTAAATTGGCATAAAATACGGTAGAAGATCGAATTCAAGAAGATATGAACAACACGGAGCTTGAAAAATACACCAAGAATTGAAAAGATGAGACACCTTCAATTTTTAGAGGGATAGAAAACTTATAATTAGGATAGGTACAAACAACTTCATTCCGATTGCACAAGACTATACATGGGATGCACTTGGGGGTATATACATGAAGATATTGACGAGGGGTGTGATTTTCTATCGCATATTTTGGAGATATTTTTAATTTTTGTTAATAATTATGTGATTTTTGCTTTATCGTAAACTCTTAAATTGTCATAAACAAGAAGAACATATTCATGAATAATACATTCAACTGCTTACATAAAAAGATAAGAAATTACTACTCTTGGGTCGAATGAATATTCTCATGCCTGTAAAAAATGGTGTATGGTCAAATAAATTCTAATTAATTTGAAGTCATAACGGTATAATGAAATTTCTTTTTCTTTTCTCAATATGAAAAGGAGAAAAATTTGACGCGTTTGAGGAGACTCATACTTGGGAGATGGATGACTTGACTTGTTATGCAACCAATAGACAACAAAAGAAATGTCTGTATTTTGGTTCCCAGTCCCTAACCTTGGACTTGTTCCTGTTACCGTATATCATGGTTCGATTTTGCTACATGTCCACTTAGTTTGACATCATGGATGAAATTCTCTGATAAAAAGACATAAATA